ATGTTTTACTCCAAATTAATTTTACTTTGAAAACAATTATTGTCATTATGTAGTGATATAATCTAAATTAATCTCATAACAATCTTTTAAAATAAGGCTCTTGAAAAACTAGTATGTCTATTCCTGGGAGTAAACATTTGTGCATAATATAGATTTTTGCAATAATAACTCTTTTTCTAACCTGTTCTCTCTTAGAATTTATACATTTTACGTACTCCATTTCACTTTAAAGACACATTATTTTTTTAAAGGTGTGTGTGTGTGTGCATGTGTACTATGGCTTAGTCAAAATCATTGTGCAGTAACAATAAGGAGTTTTGTTCATCTTTTCTGTTCACCCTTTCATTCAGAGTCACATAGTTCCTGTCTTTAATAAAAACATGAATGAGACATAATCACATCACATGGGAATTTTTCATTACAATATGCATTTTTCTCATTATAAAAATGAATGACACTGTGCAGCCTCCATCACTTAGCTGGTTAAATTGCCTGTCTTGTAAAAATGAATGACACACATTTACGGATTTTTGTTTTATGCTGTACTTAGGAATTGCACCTAGGGCCTTGTGTGTGACAGGCGAATGTTATGTATTAAGTCCCTCTCCCCTCTTTTTGATTTTGACACAGTGTATCACTAGGTTATCAGGTATTTAGCTACAGTTATAAGTAATTAATACATTCAGTCAGCATTCGGATCTATCCACATTAGTTGACTCTACAGTTAGTTTTCCTAAACACTGTCCTCTATTGCTTCAACTCATGTCCTCACCTACAGTAATATGATATTGCTTTTAAAACTCTTTGTGTTATAGACCTGTCAGTTTGATCTCAGAAATAACAAATCAGAACTTAGAGACACCGGGTGACTTTCCTAAAGGGCCAGAAGTATGCTACTCTGACAAAGTATGTTCCCTGACAGAGCACAAAGATGAAACCCCACCTGGAAGACTAGTTTGCATAATAGAAGAGAATCCTGTAATTACCAAGGGCTTTAACGTTTTTCCTTTCATTGGATTCTGTGGTAGAAGTGGATTATCTGACATCCTGGAGCATCTTCTGTACTAATTCTAATAGCTATAGTGACACAATTCTACCTTCAATTTTATTGGCTGACGAAAGACATGGAGCCAATTGCATAGTTTGCTGACTGACAATCACAGAAGGGAGGGTTCGTTGGAACAGTAATCTTAAGCAGCCTCTCATATTTAAAGGTAAAAAGTAATCTGTTTCTAGACTTTTTGGTGAACTCATAAGATAACCAGCATTCTCTGCTGTTTGTTTTACACGTCTATATTTATGTCATCTCTCCTCTGGAGATGAGAAAAAAAAAACAGGAAATACCCAAAGTTCACATAATCATTTCTCCTTCCATAGCCTAAAACTGAAGCTAAAATTTCTAAAACTTTAAAGAAATAGTTTTGGCTGGGTGGTGGTGGCACACGCCTTTAATCCCAGCACTTGGGAGGCAGAGGCAGGCGGATCTCTATGAGTTCGAGGCCAGCCTGGTCTACAGAGTGAGATTCAGGACAGGCACCAAAGCTACACAGAGAAACCCTGTCTCGAAAAACAAACAAACAAACAAACAAACAAACAAACAAACAAAAAATAGTTTTAAAAGGTGTTTAGGATCAAGAAGTTAGGCAAAGGCAGTAGGCATTTATAATGGGATATTATATAGCATACGTGATAGAGAGGTAAGATTGTGTCTGGGATATGAAGCTAAGTGTTAGAAATGTGGGAATCATAGTTGAGATTGAACATCAAAAACCTCAGACATGGAAATGGAACTTAGGAAATAGCAGTAAGAGACTTGGAGAAACAAGGATGAAAACTAGAAAAAGAAAGGATAATCCCTAGGAAGATCACATGCTGAGTCCAGCAACAGAAACTATAAGAGAGAGCCTGCTTCAAAAGAAAAATAAGGTAAGATGTGACTCCTGAAAAGATGACCTCTGATCCACATGTGAATGCTCTCCCCACCACCAATAAATAAGTCTTAAAAAAAAAAAGAAAAAGAAAAAAAAAACAGAAGGATGAGCACACTAAAAAATATCAAGGTTTAGAAGTTGAGTGGCAGGTATAAGGACTCATGGACTATGGAAAAAATATGAAGACCCAGGGTCAAGAGTGGAAGTTGCAACAATCTAGTAATAATGATGTGCCTTGGATTAGATCTATCACTGAAAACAACTATAGAAATGTGACAATTATAAATTGGGACAAACTGTGTACATATTTTGTTTTATATGCTAAAAAGACAATATACATTTAACAACAACTATAACACCTTTACACGTACACATGCTATGTCAGACAAGTAAAAAGATTATATTTAACTATTTAAGAACAGAGCTTTATTGGCCACAGTCATTGAGAGAATAAACGTACTGTTCCTGCCTCCTTCTGAGCATTTTCTAAGTGGTAGCAAGAAACAACAGAGACAAATAGCAAGCAGTCATGTCAATACGCTAAGAGTTGATAGATGTTGGAGGTGGGGAACAAAGGCTTCTGAGATTTGAGGCACAAAATTCTAGAGAGAAAAAAGGTACAGAGATGTGAACTTCAAAATCTATTTACAAAGTCCCTGCCAATCAGTTAACTCCTAAGACACATGTGCAAAGAAAGAGACTTCTGGAAAGCCACTGTTGCTGTAGCACCTGAAAAGTGGAAGCTTTTAGCAGCCGCACAGTGCTGTTTCCTGAAGAATGGAAGGAAGCTTTTAGCAGCTGCACAGTGCTGTTTCCTGAAGAGTGGAAGGAAGCTTTTAGCAGATGTACAATGCTGGGAGATTGCCTCTAGGCTCTACAAGGTAAACACCCCAGAACATAAGTTATAAGACCTGGCAAAGATCATAGCCTAAGGGTAAGGACAAGTTGAAGTAAACCTGCATCAGACTGCCTTAAAAACAAGCAGTACTAGGATGAAGGTGAGATCTGGTCTTACTTGCCTAGTAAAATAAAGATGGAGAATGTTGCTATAGCTCCAAGCCTCTATAATTTTTCTTTCATACTCTCTGAATTAGACAAGACATTAGGCTAGGGGAATAGCTAACACATAGAACAGAGCCAGACACCAAAAATGGGATGATTCAGATGGTTGAGATTGGAGTTACTGTATAAGAACTTTAAATATGATCAAAACATTAAGAAATAGAGGGTGGTGGTGTGTACCCTTTAATCCCAGCACTGGGGAGGCAGAGGCAGGAGGATCTCTTGTGTGTTCAAGGCCATCCCAGTCTACAGAGCAAGTTCCAGGACGACCAGGGCTACACAGAGAAACCCTGTCTCAAAACACCAAAAATTAGCTGGGTGGTGGTGGCACATGCCTTTAATCCCAGCACATAGAAGGCAGAGGCAGGCAGATCTCTGAGTTTGAGGCCAGCCTGGTCTACAGTGATTTCCAGGACAGACAAGACTACACAGAGAAACCCTGTCTTGAAAAACCAAAATCAAAATTAAAATAAAATAGTGAAAAGAAAAAGAATTTGATCCGAGACTTGGAACTTTAAAAAGTATAAGGAGCCAAATAAAAAATTTGGAATTGAAACTGTTATAAGTGATTAATTTAAAAGGGGCTATACAGCAGTTTAGACATAGCAGAATTGAATTTCTACCAAGAAGGCAACAGGCCAGTAGAAAATATTCAGTTTTAAGCTTGTGTGTATAAGCACACACAAGAAATACAGACAAGAGTGCAGGAGGCATGAAGAATACATCAGAAAGTTTCAACATACATGGACTTGGAGTAACAGAATGAAAGGAGGGAGGACAGAAGAGTATTTAAGAGAAATACTGGTCAATATTTTTCAAAGGCTGATGAAAAAATGTCACATAAGAGAAACTGAATTTCAAGCAGAATGAATATAACCCATGGGCTGAGCGACAAACACAAAGTGGTCGAGCAAAGAGAAAGAAAAAAACTTCAAGTGTTAGAGCATATTATCTTCAAAGATGCAATAATCAGATTGGTGGCTGGCTCCTGAACTGGAATAATGACAACCAGAAGACATTGGAAGGTCTTCTTTAAAATGTCAAAAGCTTTAAAAAAAAATAAATAAAAGACTAATATGGAATTTTATACCCAGCAGACTACCTTTAAAATTGATGAGATAAAAATGCTTTCAAATTAGCAAAAGCTGAGCAAACTTGTCAATATAAACAAACTGTAAGAAATATTTAAGAAAAATTTCCCTTTAAATACAAAAGACAATGTCCCACAATGCAAGTGTTGAACTCTGGAGAAATAGTGACCAGGAATGAGTGACTCTGATCCCATCTCTGTTCTAATAACTTATCCCAGTGGAATAATTTGGTGTAAAATACAAGTTCATATAAAACTGTAGACAAGGAGTTACAGGCAAGCCAGAATTTAACAATTTAATGCCATATACACTGTCAGTTTAATTTTAACTCAGTAAAGTTTACAAATTTTAAAGAAACAATGGGAGCTGGGCACTGGGGGACAGGAGTTGAATATGGGGGTCAAAGTGTACTAGAGGACAAGAACATCTGTGGAGATGTGGGACTTGGGACCCGTGGGTGATGCATGTTTCAGAGTCCTGTCAGGAATCAAGACAGTCTGTGGCAGATTTAAGATTTACTTATTTTATGTATACAAGTGATGCAGAAATCCGCTAAGGCAGCTGGAGCTCCACAAGCCGGAGCTGCAGGCAGCTGTGAGCTTGTGGGTACTCTCCACTGCTGAGAGGTCGCTTTGGCCCGTCTATGGTAGATTTAAGAGTTAGCCAGGGCAAGCCTGCAAGTTCGAGGCCAGCCTCGGCCACATAGTTACAGGCCGGGCTGGTGAGACCGGGTCTTAAAAAAAAAAAAGTCGGCGGCCATGGTGGGCAGTTGGGTCGCGGTGGTGGGTTAAAGGGCAGAGGTCAGAGGCTCAGACCTGAGGAGGCAGCGGTTGCAACAGGAGCGCACCGGCAGTTGGGCGTGGGCGCCCTTGAGGGCACGCCCCTCCGCCCCGCCAGCCCCGCCCACTCCCGCTCCCGGCTCCAGGCGGAGCGCGCCGAGCACAGGGAGCGAGCTGCGTGGGGATCCCGCGGCGGTCGGGCTCGCGCGGCGCCCTCGCTCCCCCTCCCCTCGGCCCTAGGGCCGCGCGGCCCGCGCCGCTCCGGGAAGATGGCGCTGCACTTTCAGGTCAGTGTGCCGGGCCGCGGGCCTGGAGCGCCGGCGGCGGGCTGTGGTGGTGGTGGTGGTGGGATCCCAGGCCGCGACCCCGAGCACAGCCCCTGGCCCGGGGACGGTGGGGCGGCGGGCTCAGAAGAGCGGGCTGCGCTCGGGCCGCCGAGTCCGCCCTCGTCGGCACGGCTGCAGCAGCGTCCGGGCAGGAGGGAGCCGGGACCGAGGGGCAGCCATCCGGCCCTCACGCTCAGCCCGCGGTCCGCGCCCTCCCGGGGAGCCTGAACTCGGAGGCCGGGGCGGCGGGAGCGCGGGAGCGCGGCTAGAGGGCTGTCATTGGCCGGAGGCGGGCGGGCGGGTCGGGGCGCGGCGCGGCCGGGAGCGCGCAGCCTCATTGGAGGAGCCTCGGGGCAGGGCGCGGGCTGCGCCGGAGGGATGCGGCGGCTTCTGCCCAGTGGCTCCCGCACTCTGCGGGTCTTGGTCCCACTGACGTCTGCTGAGCCTCCCCCACTGTGTCTGTTCTGAGGCGGAACGTTCCGGGGGTGCAGGGCGACATCCACTACCACCCTTGTCCTTTTGGAGCGCGCGGTAATTACCGCACACGTGAAAACTGTTATGGTAGAATTAGTCACGGGATATCGCGGGAGCACAGACAGGCAGTCCAGCGCGTGTGCGGAGGGGAACCTCCACTTGTTACTTGGTTCCTACTGCTGGTGGTACATACGCCTCTGAGCAAACAACTGCCTTTTAGTCTTTGGAACGTGGGACTTGTAGGAACTGTAGCTGCCCAGGTAAAGAGGAAAGGAAGGCTGCAGAGGCGTCAAGACGGTGTGGGCAAAGCAAAGAATTGTGGAAGACCTTGATACGCTGCGAAAGCCCTTTCCTGGATCCTAAGACTGATTTGAAAAGAAAGCGCTCTGGGGAGGTTGTGGATGACAGATGACCTTAGTAGCAGAGTCTTAACTTGATGACAGTGTGTCTAAGTGTCACATTCCCCTTGTAGACTTATAAGAATCCTCTGGTCACATGAACTTACTGCTTTATTACTTCTTCTAGGGTATTTCCATCTAGGAAATAGACCCACACTTGGTGTTTTGACTTAACCCCCTTTTTGTTGTTGTGTGTTTGTTTAAGGGTTCCTAGGTCAGAATTATTATCACTTTAGTAAATATGACCTGTGGGGAATTTTTACAGCGAGAACTTACTGTGAATCATAAATAGATAATCATATACATAGTGCAGGTATGTCTTGGGTAAATTAGAAGGTATGGAAGAACTTTGGAACTTTTTTGGACTTGGAAAGATGGTGCCTGATAAATTGCCAAGTCCTGGAAGCCCTCTTCATAACCAAGTTCAGTATTAAAAAAAATTAGATGTTGATGTCCAAACTGGTCAAATCATTCTCAGAAATGTACATTAAAGTGCTATTTTTAGGGCATTGCTTCAGTGTCTTTTTCACACTTGGTAGTTAATTATGTGGCTCATTGACATAAATGTCCACAGTGTGGACTGGCCATCTGTGCTTTTATCCTTGAATCCATGCCCTGGCTTCCTGGAAGGCAGAGGAAGGCATCATTCCCGCGGTCGGTTCAATCACAAGCACGCTAGTTAGGAGCCAGTGAGTTAGGGTGTGCTCTGTCTCCAAAGAAGAAATGGACCCTGGTCATCTCTAGGATGTGGAGGAGCACAACGAGGAAAGGCAGAATGGGATAGGGAGCCTGACGATGATACTGGAAAAAGCTTAGTGGACTCTGAGTGATTTGCTCTCTGAATGGTTCTGGAGTCAAAGACTGTCAGCTATTCTTTTTAATCTCCATTTAGGCTGGATGTTCTAGTTGTGACTGAGAAATAAACAACGTTAGTGTGATGAAAAGTGATTCGGGAAAGTTAGTTGTTAGGCTGAAGTGTGGCAGTCACTGGAATACTTTCCCTTTCTCTCTTAATCATCATAGTTGCTTCATGTTTTCTGTCTGTAGTTCTACTAGTGAGACTTAGGAAAGCTTTGGTCACTCAGTAAATGCGTGCCAGATTCTAAAGCTTGTGCCCACTCCACGGGACCAGTGACTTATCCTGTACTACTTACTTTCCACTCATTCCTAAGCAGCCTCTGGAGAAATCCAGGGCATTGGAGGCCACATTAGAGGATTTTTACTTAATTGCACTATGTTTGAGTATTAGTGGAATCTTTACAGAGAAACAGTTGGTAGAACTTGATGAGTGTAAGTAAATTGGTATGCACCTGGAGTTGTCCAGACTGTGGTTTAAGACACAGTCCATAAAACTCCTTTTGGCACCAACGGCAAATTCAGGGATTTCCCATGGTGGGGGGTGCCCCTCCCCAAGGTATGACGGTTCATCAGTAGGGCTCACTGAGTTCATCAAAAGCTATCAAATTCATAATTGTGATTCATTTTAGGGAAAGAATACTGATTAAAATTGGCTAAAGGGAGGATATAGAGGATATTCTATGAAGGTTCTAAAATACATCTTTTGTTCTCAGGATAGGATGTTCTCCTGGCATTCATATTGTGTGTACCACTGCAAGGTGGGAAGGCTCACCTACTCTTTAGTTTCCACAGTATTTAATCAAGCTTCATTAATTAGACTTGACAGATAATTTCTAGTTCCATTGGTAACCTGTGACCCAAAAATCATCACCCTAAACCAAAACCCTGAAATTGTGACTACCAAGTATGGTCAGTGCTTGTCCTAAAAAAATAACTCCTGTTAACTATGACATAGATTATCTACTAGAAACTGAGGGCAAAGGTCAGGCCTCTTTTTGGGCAAGACTTCTGTCCTAGTTAGGGTTTTTATTGCTGTGAAGAGACACCATGGCCATGGCAACTCTTATAAAGGAAAAACATTTAATTGGGGTGGCTTACATTTTTAGAGGGTTAATCCATTATCATCATGGTGTGATGTGGTGGGGTGCAGGCATGGTGCTGGAGAAGGAGCTGAGGGTCCTACTTGTTGGCTTGCAGGCAACAGGAAGTGGTCTGTGACACTAGGCGGTATCTTGAGCATATATGAGACCTCAAACCCTACCTCCACAGTGACACACTTCCTCCAACAGGACCACACATACTCCGAAAAGGCCTTACTTACCTCCTAATAGTGCCACTCCCTTTGGGGTGCATTTTCTTTCAAACCACCACCATATCTTACTCCCTGGCCCCTCTCAAAGACTTATAACCATATCATAATGCAAAAATGCATTTAGTCCAGCTTCAAAAGTCCCCATAGTCTATTATATAGTCTCAACAATGTTAAAAAGTCCAAAGTATAAAGTTGCTTCTGAGATATATGCAATCTCTTAACTGTAATCTCCCATAAAATCAAAATAAAAAAACCAAATCATATACTTCCAACATATAATGGCACAGAATATACATTACCATTCCAAAATGTAGGGAAGGGAGTATAGTGAGGAAATACTGGACCAAAGCAAGACAGAAAACCAGGTGGGCAAACTCCAAATTCTGCATCTCCATGTCTGATGTCAAAATACTCTTCAGATCTCCAGCTCATTTCAGCTTTGTTGACTACAATACACTTCTTTCTTGGACTGGTTTCACCCCTTGTTAGCAGCTTTCCTCAGCAGGTATCCCATGCCTCTCGCTTCTCTAACATCTTGGGGTCTCCAGGGCAGTCCAGGATTCAACTTCATAGCTTCACTCAATAGTCTCTCTAGGCCTTCAGGGATACCCCTACATGTTCCTGACCTTGGTGGCTTTCCTTAGTCGCAGTCGGAGATTCCATAATGCCTTTCTTCTGTCCTTGACTCTAAAGCCAGAACCAAGTGGCTGAAGCTGCCAAATTCTGCTGCTTGCTGGGGCTGGAATATGGATGCCCCCTCATTCAATTACATCTTCCCCAGCTTTCTGTTTTCAGTAATTTCCTTCACTACCTAAGCTTGGCTGTTCTGAATTTCCTCTGTAGACCAGGCTGGCCTCAAACTCAGATAGCCACCATCCTCTACCTTCTGAGTGCTGGGATTGAAGGCCTGCACTACCACACCTGGCTCTAAACTTCTCTTTAATTTGTTCACACATTTGGAAATTTAGCTGGTGGGATCTTGCCCTGAGGTCACCACTCCCTTTATTCCATTTCTTAAGCTGTTTATCTCCTTGAACACAGGACTTAGCTCCATTTCATTTTTTGGGTGCTCATTTTCTCCTTAAATTTTACATTTTATAATTTACCTTGCTCAGCTTGCTCCTTTGAGTTATAAATCTTCACTAGAGTTACCACTAATAACCACATGACAGAGTCTATATTAGGCTGTTTTGAGATTTCTTCTGCCAATGGAATTAATCCAAGACTTTTCAGTTTAACCTCAGGCAGACTCTTTGGACAAGGGCAAAAAGCAGCCACTTTCCTCATCAAAGTACCACAAGAGTGATCTGTAGACAGCATAATAAAATTCTTCTCTGAAATCTCCTGAGCCAGTACCCTACAGTTCAATTCACTCTTAGCACCCTGTTTTCCATGTTCCTACTAGTATGGCCCATTAAGCAGCACTTAAAATGTTCAACTGCTTTTCTAATCCATACTCCCATGGTCCATATTCCTTCAAACAAAAGCATGGTCAGGCCTATCACAGCAATACTCTAGTCAAAGTTAGGGTTTCTATTGCTGTGAAGAGACACCATGACCACGGCAACTCTTACAAAGGAAAAACATTTAATTGGGGTGGCTTACAGTCAGAGGCTTAGTCCATTATCATCATGGTATGACGTGGTGTGCAGGTGTTATACCAGAGTCATGAGCCCCGCCCAGAGATCACCAGGAGTCCAAGTTCATATGCAAAAGCAAAGAGCCTTTATTGCAAGCTCAAGCTTGGGCTCTCTGTCTGTTCGAATAGCAGTTGGATCAGGGAAGCATTGAGCTCAGTTGAGGCAGGGTTTTTAAGGAGTAAAGGATGGAGGGATCAGGGAATTGCAGATTCAGATGGGTGTTGAACTCCTGATTGGGCAGGAGTGAGGTAACAGAAGTTTTGTCAAACAGGGATTGGT